GCCAGACCAAAAAACTAGGAGCACACCTTGCCCCCTCTGCGAACAAACATCGCAGCGCTATCGAAGCGTCTCCGCTGAATCGGACGTTGGCTTCTACGAGCAAGAGCCGGAAGAGGAGTACTACTACGTCACCAGGGAGGTTTTGAAGGTAGTCATGCTGAAGCGCACGATTTGATGTGTGCAACTTGGTGATTCGAGAGCGCGTTCGAACTGCGCATACCCCCCGCCCAACCACCACCGTATACCCCACAACCCCCTCCATCAAACCCATTCCCAGGCACTCACTCATACTTTACTTCCTACGCACCTGGTGCACCAGCTGCATTTGGCAATAAGCTAGCAGTCCTTGGTGGCGATTTCCTGCTGGGACGCAACAGTGCTGCCCTGAGTCGGCTAGGGAGTCATGAAGTGGTAGAGCTCATCGCGAGTGTCATCGCTAATCTTGTAAAGGGTGAGATTTTGCAGATGAAAGGGAGTGGAACCGAAGCCGCCCCACATCCCTCGTCGTCTGCGACTAGTGCAATTGACCTTAAGGACATTCATACTTCTCCTTCACCTTCACCCTCCGATAAATGGGCTATCTATCATGAAAAACGTATTTAAAAACGGCCTCTAATGGTTGAAGGCGTACGCGCCGCTGTTGTGCTAGGAGGATGTAGAGAAGGCGAGGTGTGGAAGGAAGTGGCCTATGCATATGGGAGGAACTTGGGTATTGCATTTCAGGTGTGTTCGCACAACTCTTCAGGTGTCTTCTTGCGCTTTTGGCGCTTCACTTTGCCACTACACACGTTATTCCTCTTCATTTCGTCTTGTCACATTGCAATCTATCCTTGTTCATACTCATTCCTTGCCCAGCTTATAGACCACAGACACTCTCGACTTTTCCTCCTCCACAGCCCAGCTCGGCAAACCTGGCTTTGCAGACCTACGCCTAGGACTCGCAACAGGACCCGCACTCTACGCAGCTGAGGAAATCCCAGAGCTCGAAGACATGATTGAGCGGCGGTTCGGTAAGGATGGCGATGTTGAGAGGGTGAGCATTTCTTCCCACCAACAACATTTGGACAAGCGCTAACTTTTATGCTGCTTTCTTTGCATCGGCGGTGTGTAGTCCCTGACGCTGATCTCGTCTTCTAATGATGTAGAGCGCGCGCGCGAGCTAGCGCGTGTACATGCTGAGAAAGTACGGGAGGAGTTGACATTATTACCTAGAAGCGAGGCGAGGGACGCTTTGGAGGCGTTGACGGAGGGTGTTGTGAAGAGGCGGTGATGAGGCCTGTATAATCCCCATATGTTGTGCCACGACGGGACCGCGCGTCATTCGATGATTAAGAATTACAACATACGTAGTTCGTCGGGAGGTGTCATTAACATGCCGCAGGCTCTCTGTCGACTTTGCGTGATTGAGAGATATAATTTTATCTGACCTTATGACGGTTGAATGAATCGTTAGGAACTTGAATATTATAGGCTCGTGACCATCGGTCCTATAAAGCTGTGAAACTAAGTGTATCCCAATTGCAAAGGGCTATGATCGTAACTTTACAGTATTCTGACGATTTGAGGATTAGGCATGGCACTTGAGTAAAATTCTATGCTACTACAAATAATATATTTTAAGACAGTGGTTATGGTAAAGTTCAGTTATGAGAAGGTTCAGAAATGCGGAGGATTGGGAGGAGACAGTTAACAAAGGTTTCAGCACTTCACAGCAAGCTTTAGCTTATCTCCTCAGTTAACTTCGAACTTCCCTATTATCACGAGGTTGATTAGAAGCCTCTTCTCTTGCAGGAGCTGGAATCATCCGATTTCAGCTGCATTCCCTCATTCTACCCGCATCACACCATATAGCGTTCATCAAAACGATGCAACATATTCACCTGTGGTGCACCTTGTCCCTATTCTCCTACAGATGACAGATCTTGTAAAAGGCAAGGCCCTTTTGCTGATTGTGATCGCTGAGGCCATCATCGAATTCACCGCGCATGTCGACTGCTGTTCCGTATCCGCTCCCCATAACGCCACAATATCCAGGGTCTGCGGTAATTGTTAAGGGTTACAATGGAGGGAACAAAAATGAAGACGTACGCAGGACAGCCGACAACGATTGCCACGACTGCTAAAATGGTATCACCTTTGCCGAACCCGAGTTTGTACATTGCTGGAGCAAACAAGGAAAATCCAAAGCCTGCTAGTGACCGCAAAAAAAGAGATGGCGGCAAGAGCTAGATATGAATTATTTGAGATGGGTAGGTAACATGGGAATCAAATCTACCCACCAGAAGCGGCATGAAGAGTAAAAGCAATCAACGATGTAGGTCTGGATACACTGGCAATTTAGAATGATGCCTGCTCCCACAAGCACAATGCCCTGTCAAAAACCTAGAATGATGCCTGCTCCACAAGCACAATGCCCTGTCAAAACCATCAATAGATGAACAACACTAGGAGAATCAAACCAACAATATCTGGAGCTATCCAATACACATGAGCTTCAGAGGTACAGCCTACAATCAAGCACCCAATTGGAAGTAAGAGAGATCCGGGAACCATAGCAGCTGACGGCACACTGAATGAGTACTTGAGAAAGGAGGCGCTAGGACAATATGCCGAACGCAATCTGAACTCCGGCTTCGCAACTCCACCGTTCTTACCCTTAAGATAAATGTAAACTTTGTCCATCGTTCTCGCATTTAATTGGAAGGCCGCTGACAATTTTAGGCCAAGTGCAGTGTAATGAAAGCCGGATATTCCTACCGACTGATGGTATGTGCCTTGGAAGATCGATGGCATCGTCGTCAAAAATACTGAGATGGTATAAGATCAGCATGTATAGAAAATAAAATGCCTTAGGATAAAGTGTTCCGTATAGATATGCCATGTAAACGCCGAGGAGCTGCACGATCGGCTCACGCGCAGAGAGTACAAGGGCGGCTGAGTGATTTGGCCATGATGGCCTGCCAACTATATACGCATCGTCCTCAAATAATATCTGACAGGGATTATAGAAGGACTTACGAGCGATCTTGACCCTCGAAAATGGTACGGATTTCTCTGTGCGGAGCTTTTTCGGCAGCCATCGATCTGCGAATCTGCTCTGCCTTCCTTTCCAATAAGACAGGCGCGTAAGCTGGACAATTCATAAGTATCAGCGGATCGCGAACAGTCAACTGCTCACTCTCTTGAAGTGCAAACATTCCAATAATCTGAATGACTGCATCCACGATAGACGTATACTAGAATTGTTAGAAATGAGAATAGTTCTCTATTAGTAGAAGCATTGCATACCACCCATCTCCAGGTCGAGTATTGAGCTACCCTGAGAACATTTAGATGGTGTCGTTGAACTTGAAATAGCCACAAACTAGGCACCCGTGATAGGTCCCACGACAGGGCCCATTAGCGGAGCTAAGGAGTAAATGGCGACAGCTCTTCCTCGTTGATCTGGCTGCCAGCAGTCACCGAGAAATCCACCGCCAATCTGAAGAGGGAAGCCATTCAGAAGAGATACTTCCGACTTGAGGAAACTTCAACTTTACCGACAAAGGAGCGCTGCCTCCAAGGCCAGCAAGAAATCGGAAAACAAGAAGCTGGGATTCTGACTGTGCGAAACCACAGACGAGATTCCATACTATCATGTCAAAAATGAGAGTGAGATTATGGGTTGTCTTGTAAATGTCACACACCAAGATACCACAAATTTGCTAATTGCAAAACGCGTGACCGTCCATAAATTTCACTCAATGGACCCAGCAATAACGGCCCCATGGCTATTATTGGTTAGTGAGGTGTCTAGCATCCACCAAATTGGCTTACCGTATGCAAGCACGAAGATCGATGTTATGAGTGCAAGCATAACATCATCTTCGATCCCGAAAGCAGAAGCCTCTGGCAAGTTGCAGGCGCAATCATAGAGGACGAAACTGGACTGATAAAAGTAAATAATGATACAATGATTGTAGCAGTCCATTTGCGTCTATAGCTCCAACTGTGCAAGAATTATAAGCCCAACGGCCATGCTACTCTGCTAATGCAACTTACTTTTTAGGATTTTGAGGGTCATCTGGGACATCCAAGTCAACGATCAAAACATCTGCATTGTTTGTTGTTGCAAGCACCTCACCATCGCCAGTGTTATATCACTTCTGAGAATGACTTTATTCTGGAATATGATGGACTGATTTTGATGCGTGATCACTTTGTAAGGTTGGGGCAGGAGACACCGCGCCTAGTGTTCCTTCCACATCACTCACGGTCGCAGAGATTTGTTTTGTAGTGGACATTCGCATCTGAGATTGACATCCACATAGTGTCCTTTCCTACTTATAAGCCATCTGACAATCGGTTACTGTCACCATTACGAAGGTGCTTACTAGAGACCAGAATTGAGTAAACAGGCCTATGTCATTACTGTGGTGCTTACCTCGAAATAACTCGTATGAGAGTCCTGAGACCCTGTGCTTGACACATTTTAGTTTACTGTGATTTGGTCATCGGTCGCACCGTCGGCCGATAGTCATATACACAAACTCAACACGGTGACAAGAGTGACAGAAAGCGATAAGGACTAAACTTTACAATAAACCGACAAGATCTTGCTAGACTCTCTCGGCTTCCCAATCTTTGACCCATTGAGCGGTCCCACGTGATAGTGAGCAGTTGCTAGAAGGCTAAGATGGTATTGACCGCTATAATGTGAGTTCGATAAGCTACAGCTCAAGGACGACGCGCAGAATAAGCTAACAGCACCAGTGGCAGCTGCCGAACGCCGTTAGGGTGCTAAAGACCATTTTGCGCAAGCGCAAGAAGCACCGCAAGCCAGTATATTTTCGTTTGATTTATAAGCGTTTGGTTGGATAAATGATAAATTGCATGCGATTCATGGAAGGAACGAGCCTCCAATTAATTCATCAAGTTCGTTGACAAGAATGAGCCTTTCGGATTTCCTGGGTGGAATAACTCTGGAAGGAGTAAGGATGACTTCCTCATATTCCTGACTCGCTGGTGAGCAGATGAGATTGAGTAAGGCATTTGTAATTGACCTTGTCATGTCCTGTAACGTACCTGCTACCAAACTGAGAAAGCGAACCACCTTGCATGATAGAGAACGAAGAGTACACATGTGGAAGCATTTCTGGAGCTTCTTGCTGGATATTTTGAACGACGGCCTACTTCAAGGCGCAAATAAACTTACTGCCACGCCAGTGAACAAAGGACGAGACGCATTTACCCTGAGAGTCTCTTCCATGCGGCGACGAACATCCTGTGGAGAAAGGCTGGCAGTTACAACTGAACGACACTGACAATAAATAAAAATAATATTGGACAGCACTAACCGCCTGTTTTTGTTTTGCCCGAGGTTGAGTTTTCAAACGTCGTTCTTTCTCTTCCAGAAAACAAGGTACTGTGAGTCATTAAATGTGATACACTTGATCACTACTGACCACGTTCAAAAAGTAAGATCTAGAGGCGAGCAGTTCTGCAACAATTTCGATGTCGTCAAAGCCAACCAGGTCAGCGAGCTCGCCTGATATGGCATCATCGGGGAGTGTTGCATGCATGCTTGAAACTTCTTGTGGTTTGCTAAATGTCACGATCATGAGGTTCCTGTAGAAGGACGTGACAAGAACAGGAACACTAACCTTGACAATCTACCTATTAGGTGCTCAGGCGGTGATAGCGACAATTTCTGACCAGTGATGAAGACATCCGTGATGGAGGTTCGGAAATCCTTTTCTAGATCGTCGTTGACATCGTGATCTATGCGTGGTGAGTTGGTTGATTGAGGATATATATCAGTTCGAAGCAGGGTACGTGGACTTGCAAACGAGTTGGGCCTAGTAAACTAAAGTGAGTCCCTTTTTTACTCTAAAGACTTGTTCAATATGAAACAGACATTATACAGCGGTCCAGCCTCTTGGTATCATTGAAGTTCTGAACAGTATATTCGCGAGGAGCAGACGTCAACTGGTCAAGATGCACGAGAATGGGCATGCTGGTTTGGTGTGCCCTCTGGATAATATCAGAAATGATAAGGAGAGTTCGTTCTGTTTGTCGAGTAGGTAGTCAACTTGCGTTTCCGCGTTAGAGTGTTCAACAAAACATTACACTCGTTTCCGAAAGTCTTGACTCACGTGCTTGTGGCGGTTCAAAGTAGTGAAAATTCATTCAAATCAGTTTCGAGTTTTGCAGGACTCTGAACGGCTTCAAACACACCATCTCGCATCTATTTCCCACTCAGACTCGCTATGGTCAACCAGAGGATCAGTTTGAGGCTGAACTCGACTTTGCTGCAAAATCACAGCGCGGTGAGATTTATCTATTTTTATTGAAGCAAGTAAGGCTGACACTATTATCATTCTAGGAATCTTTGCGTCCTCGAATAGCAATGGAACAGTCGTCAAAAAGAACCAGTGAGCGTCTTCGCAACCTACTGGAGCAGTTTATCGAACACCGAGAGGTACGTCATTTTTATATACTACTATCACAGGCATACAAGTGAAAGGCGGCTCGACAGGTGCGTGGTATTCAATGCAGTGGTGTATGAACTTGGATGGGAAATAGTTGTCTGCGATTATCCGTAGTATTCAATAATTCAAGCATGTATCATCCTAAATGTTGTTCACAAAACTTACATTGAAAAGATATTGAAGGATCGGGTAAAGACAACCCTCCGATTCAAGGTGTTGTTGCTGTTGAGGAACCTTGAGCATTTAGGACCAAGGCTCGAGTATGTTACTCGCTTTCTGCGTCATCGTTGTGCGGAGAAATTTGAGGAGAAGGAAGAAAGGTCGTTGGTGGCATGAAAACATATTCTAGATTCGAAAACTTTCGCTACTTCGCGCACTGCATATGTATATGTATATGCATGTCACAAGAAAATACTCAACGTTTGCTATCAACTAGATATACATGATCTGGTACTTTGCGTAATACTCTCGCACGCTCCTACACAGTCCGATTTTTACTTGTGTTTAAGACCTCAGGAAACGCTCTCAGCTTATTCTGGAGGTTCATTCGTTAATTATGGCACGCACTAAATTTCGTGGACGCAGATTCAGCAACCAAGACTCAGCAGTCCCAAAGCCGAAAACAAAGACAAAGAGGGATCGGGCACTTGCTGTGATGTCCTGTAAATCAACCCTTCCAATGCCCCCAGTGCGACTCCAGAGGCCCATTTCCTATTTCTCAATCCCAATCATCCGTGCAGAGCTAACCATAGATGAATTCCTCACAAACTTTGGGACTCAGATCACCTACTGCGCTCCTCAAGAGATTGTTGCCATTGATTCTGATACAAGGTCGGAGCACACAACCTGCCGGGTACCAGTCATGGAGGGTGGGCAGCTTAGAGGGTATGTACCCCTGCCAATGAGGTACCGGGACATTTGGCTCGAGCTATCTTATAACATTGTCCTACTGATCAACATATGGCAACTTTGGTCCAAGGAAGAGGGAAAGGCATCGAGTCCGAAGGAGAAAAAGATGGCTACCGCCTGCCGACAGAACGTTGGGACATTGCTTGTTCAATACATGCTTTCAAGGCTGCTTGCGGTGGAGGAGCTGGTCAGCTTGAGTTATAATGTGGAGCCTGGCGAAGAGCGCGTGAACATTCTCAACGAATGGAAGGTCCGGATGCTTCGGGATTGGTTCTACATGACGCACTCGGAGGCCATAGCTGATGGACCTGAATTCATGTGTGCTGATCCAGCCAGTACCCAAAATAAAGCATTTTTCGGTGTGTTCGTCCCATTCACCGTTCTTCCAATATCGCCTGACGCGAACAGAAAGAGGATGGGAGATAGAGGAGGATGGGCGGAATATCTTATCGCCTCCGGAAGACGCCAATCTTTGGATCCACGGGCGTATCGAAGGATTGGACGAGACCTTTGAAAAAACAATCAAACCTCAGGCATTACAAGAATTAAGCAAGCCCAGCCAATTTTTCGAAACTCGGTACCAGGAAGGGACAACCTTACCGGAACGGTGGCACGAGGGGCATAAGCCCCGTCCATTCTTCTGGAGCAATAAACAATGGGATTGGTTCTGTGAAGGTAACATCAATGCGTACCATCATTTTCTAGTTGCAAACAGCCTCCTCGATTATTACAGGGAATGACTATTGGAAAACACCGATCGACCTCTTGCGTTATGTTCTTGTCACAGAGCCAGCGTACCATGAAGTCGACCAGTTTTTGGGTGACTTGCGAAGCCTCAGCATAATAATATTTCAGAACCCTGATTTGGAGGTTATTGAGGCAGACGCAAGACATCTCTGGCTCGGAAAAATAATCTGGAGGGAGTTCGTAGAAAAATTAAAGGGATATTTGAGTCTGACTGAGGCACAGACGGTGACTTCGGAAAAAAAGGGTATGTTTTTCAGGATATATTTGCGGGTGTCTCACATCAATCTCACATCAGACGATCAAAACCCTTTCAACACCTTGGAGTTGTTTTTGATTTTCAAGGGATATATGCACCAGGAGAAGACGAACTCGGAGGGTCAGCGAGCTGACGTACAGTATCTTGTGCAAAGCCGAATCAGAGAAGCA